GGTCAAGCAGCAACAGCAAACCACCGTTCGCCACCGAAAGGCGATGATATCACCACGGCGTTTGTGCCAGGCTGGGTGCACTTTGTGGCAGTCGCGAGTAGTGGCTGCTGGCAGGAGGAGTCCACGGGATAAACCCAGGTGCTATGGGTCGACTGATGTGCCATGCTAGGTGCAGGAGATGACGGGACAGACCCCGGTGCTATGGGTTGACTCACTGGTATGATTAGCAGATGCACCATGAGCCAACACCACGTGGGGAGGCCTTCATCCAACAGTCGACTGATGAAGGCTGTACGTTTATTGTGATAATTTTAAAGGAATGATCACGATCCTCATTGCCGGCTCTCGTCTGGATGAATGGCAATATCAGTAAAGGGAGCTTTGCAAAATTAATGAGGAATCCCATTGGGATTGCTCCCCTCTCTGGGAAAAACACGACGCTCCATACTTACTTTTCACACAGACAATGGCGCATTTGCCTGACGAGGAAGAACATCTCGTTACAACCTCGACTTGGGACGCCGTGTGACCGCCATGACCGCACGGCACCCACTCACTCGCTCTCGTGGAGAGAGAGAGAGAGGGTAGGGGGAGGGCGACTCAGAGAGAGAGGGCGACTCAGAGAGAGAGGACGACTCAGAGAGGACGACTCAGAGAGAGAGGGCGACTCACACAGACGAGGAGCGGGAAGGCAGCGGCAGCCACGCGGAGACGAGGAGGCGGCGCTACCCCGCGAGTGATCCTCATGGCGGCACCCCGGGGTACCGAACAATACAAACCGGCCGAGACAATTAAATGTTGTATTTCTGGCACAATATTTTCCCCAGGGGTGTACTTCACTCCGCGACTGGGGTACCAATAAATCCGACGTCAATGCTACTCCGCGATGTCGAAACGCAGCGAGGACGATTGCGCCGAAACCCTGAACGCTCGCGGTACGCACCGTTGTGGTGCATCGTGTACAGCTCGTCAAGATACGTCGATTGCCGCATCGCCTACCATCAACAGACTAAACATGACTGTATCACGGACATCGTGCGAGAGCCGGGGTACTATGGATACCCCGAGGTACCGCCATAAGGTTCAATTGCCCCCTAAGCTCTGCGGTCCTCTACATATGAAGGTGTTATCGACCAAATAATGGGGGTGTGGACACGTGGGAGAAACCCGAAGCAACTCGGAGAAGACGCACAGGTGCGAGGGAGAAACGCGCTCCTCACCCTGGCCAGCCAAGGTACGGCTCTCTCTCTCGAACGCCCGTGGTGAAGGGAGATGGAACAGATGGAGATTGGACCACACTCTTTTGCTATGCCGCCTTCTCCTGGCGAGCCAGGCTACGTCTCTCTCTCTCGAACGCCCGCAGGAATGGAGTTTCACGACAACATCTGTGCTCGATCCACCGTGAGAGGACGTGGCGGTGGCGGCTTGCAGAGGCCTTCATCCAGCAGTGGATTTATCTTGCACTTAATATTCCATAACAATTGGTGATTCTATTCACCCCCAAACTCCCACTGCCACCTCACATATTGCTACTGCGTGAGGCAGCAGGCACTGCGCACTGTAGTTCAGATTTGATTGCACGCGCGCCACGGTGGCTAGCAGATGTTAACTACCTCGCCTGGTATACAGGAGGTCGTGGGTTCGATCTCGACTCTGACCTCTGTATATTTGGAAGTTTGCGGTGTCTCTCTCTCCCCGTGGTCGCGTGGATTTTTCTCCGGGTCCTCCTTTAAATTATTTGGCTGCAATGACAAGCCCACTTCGTCGGGCTATCATTTGCGATGGCCTTGTCGCAGCTCAGTGGGGCCTTACCTGGTAAAATAAAATACAAAGTTTAGTTTTAGTTTGTTTTAGTTGAGTTTATTGAGAGTCAATCGCTTTACAACCCCCGCTCATTTCAAGTGACTAAAGCACAATTCACTGCCAATAGCCACGTAGAGACGTCGGGACCCCTACAGGAGTGAGACAACTGTGGAGTGGGCTCGTGGCCTCCAATGGTAACGCAACAAAGATCCCTCGCCGCGTGGCCTACACGGGAAAGTGCTGTTCGCGAGCACCTATCAAGACCGGCACGGCACACGAGGGGGTGGGTGGCCCGCACCACGCGGGGTATTTGTTTACACACTGCACCAGGTACTCACTTAAGGCTGAGTCGACCTAGCGGAGTCCCAGGACGGTTAGAATGTTCCACACTGTTATCGGCCGTGAGCGGGGAATTGAACTCGGGTCGACGGGTCCGTAAGCGCAGTGCGCTAACCGGTGCACCACCGCTCTCCGCAATCGCAACGCTCGCACCACCTGTGTAGCTCCTCACACCTTGATAGTCACTCATTTAAGGCTGAGTCGACCTCACGGGGTGTGGGGGAGGGGCCCAGCACTGGTTCAGATATCGCTCGCCACTGATGATAACCGCGGCTGTGGATTGAACTCGGGTCGCTGGGTTCGTAGCTTCGTGCGCGAATCCGCGATGAGACAGTTCGCCATAGCCTCCAGTGTCTGTAGGGACACAATTGGCACACACGCCTACGCACGCACGCGCAGTGCACCTCCACAATGCGCACAGATCTCCCGTGTAGCCTTGAACAGCCTCCAGCTGTTGGCGAGAACCTGTGAAGGTCGGCACACAGCACTCGAGCTGGTAGTGCGGTCAGCACCACGCCCGGCCGTCTTTGTCTCCCCAGTGCTGATATGTTACACACCGTAATGGGTACAGTACTCATTCAGGGCTGAGCCAACCTAGGTGAGCGCCGGGACCGGTTTAAATATTCGCCATTGCCTGTGAGCGGGATTGAACTCGGTTCGCCTGGTTGCGCTAGTGCAGAGCGCTAACCACTGCGCCACCGCTCCCCACAACACCTACACTCGCCCTCCCAACCTGCGTCCCCCCCCCCCCCCACCATTGCTCCGTGGTTGAGTCACCGAGATCCTCTTTCCGGCGCGCACGCATGCGCCGCGCGCATTCACCACTCTCTCTCTCATCCCTTCCCCCCATCTCTCATCCCTCCCTCCCACTCCCCTCCCTCTCTCTCCTCCCTCTCTCTCTCCCTCCCTGCCTCGACTCTCCCCGCGCCTCTCGCCCGCTCGCCCGGCAGAGAAGCCGGCCGGGAGGACGCGAGCCAGCCCGGCTCCTTCATCCCGGGCGCACGCACGCGCACGCACACGCGCGGGGCGCGCTCGCCATGCTGGGGTAGAGAGAGAGAGGCGGAGAGGGAGCGCGGGGCCAGCCACTCGGCCTCCGCGCGCCGGAATGGGGAACGAGCAGAGCGGCGGAGAGGGAGAGCCCGGCTCGGCGCCGGTGCCGGGAGGAGGCGGCGGCGGCCGGGAGAGAAGCGCCGCTGGTCGGGAGGCTGCGCCGGGCGGTTCTCAGCCTGCGTCGGCTGCTGCCAGGCACGTGCTGCCCCCTGCGAGCACGCTCCGTCTCCGCGCGCGGCGCGGGCACAGTGCGTGAAGGGCACGGCGGTGAAGATGCCGCTGTTAACCCTTGGGCGGGCGGTGACGGGAATGCGCGCTGCCCCGTGTCTCTGCGTGTCTCTGTGTGTGTGTCTCTCTGTGTGTGTCTCTCTGTGTGTGTCTCTCTGTCTCTGTGTGTGTGTCTCTCTGTCTCTGTGTGTGTCTCTCTCTGTGTGTGTCTCTGTGTGTGTCTCTCTCTGTGTGTGTCTCTCTCTGTGTGTGTGTGTCTCTCTGTCTCTGTGTGTGTCTCTCTCTGTGTGTGTCTCTGTGTGTGTCTCTCTGTCTCTGTGTGTGTGTCTCTGTGTGTCTCTCTGTCTCTGTGTGTGTCTCTGTGTGTGTCTCTCTCTGTCTCTGTGTTAGTGTGTCTCTGTGTGTGTCTCTGTCTCTGTGTGTGTGTCTCTGTGTGTGTCTCTGTGTGTGTGTCTCTGTGTGTGTCTCTCTGTCGCTGTGTGTGTGTCTGTGTGTGTGTGTCTCTTGTCTGTGTGTGTGTCTCTGTATGTGTGTCTCTCTGTCTCTGTGTGTGTCTGTGTGTGTGTCTCTTTGTCTCTGTGTGTGTCTCTGTATGTGTGTCTGTCTGTCTCTGTGTGTGTCTCTGTGTGTGTCTCTCTGTCTCTGTGTGTGTCTCTGTGTGTGTGTCTCTCTGTCTCTGCGTCTCGTGTCTGTGTGTGTCTCTCTCTGTGTGTGTCTCTCTCTGTCTCTGTGTGTGCCTCTCTCTCTGTTTCTGCGTCTCGTGTCTCTGTGTGTGTCTGTCTCTCTGTCTCTGTGTGTGTCTCTGTGTGTGTCTCTCTGTCTCGTGTGTGTGTTTGTCTCTCTCCGTCTCTGCGTCTCGTGTCTGTGTGTGTGCCTCTCTCTGTCTCTGTGTGTTTCTCTGTGTGTGTCTCTCTCTGTCTCTGTGTGTGTCTCTCTGTCTCGTGTCTCTGTGTGTGTCTCTCTATATTTCTCTCTGTGAATCTTTTTGTTGCTGATTTGAATTCGTATTTTCCTGCCTTCTTATATATATATAATTTGTTGGACGTGAGCGAAATGCGGCGTGGCCTGGGCACGGAGCTGCCCGAGTAGTCGAGTCGGAAATGGACCGGGGGCTTTGATGGAAATCCCATTAAACGCGATTACGGAACACGCGCTGGATAATGCATCCATTGCGCGTTTTCCCACACGGTCGCTGCGGGGTCTTGCATGGCACCTGCCTCTTACAGGTTTCTCTCGAGGTCGTGAGATGGCCAGCCGAGGGAAAATCCCAGGTTACTCCATTTAATACGATAGCTAAAGTGTGGTTGTTGTTTTTCCCATTAGTTTATCAGTTGTGGGGAGAACTCGTGAAGGAATTAGAGACATCTCGATGTGTTATGCAAGCGGCCACAGGTCGCCCTTAACTGCTGAAGGGGTTACGTTGTAGCAATGCATCGAGGTGTCGTCTGTTAGAGAGAGAGTGAGGCAGAGTGGGACCATTTGATCCAATCGCCGAATCGTCGCGGACCCGCTCGCCTGAATTGGCGACGGCGTTCTCTTGCGATGAACTGACTACAGCGACCGCCCTTCCGTAGGAGAGGAGGAGACGCATCCGCGGACAATGACCCCCATGGCGCCAGAGGTCAACGCTCCTCGGGCCGCCGACCGCAGAGGCAGTCGAGCGGCGAGGAGCGCACGCCGACAGGCCCGCAGAGGGACACGGGGCAGAGTTCAGCGCCGAGGACAGCGGCGGCTGCCTCGCCGCCCGGTTCAGCGGCAAGGACAGCGACGGGGACCTCGTCCTCAGCTGGTTCAGCACCAAGGACAGCGACGGGGACCTCGTCATCAGTTGGTTCAGCACCAAGGACAGGGACGGGGACCTCGTCATCAGCTGGTTCAGCACCAAGGACAGCGACGGGGACCTCGTCCTCAGCTGGTTCAGCACCAAGGACAGCGACGGGGACCTCGTCATCAGTTGGTTCAGCACCAAGGACAGGGACGGGGACCTCGTCATCAGCTGGTTCAGCACCAAGGACAGCGACGGGGACCTCGTCATCAGCTGGTTCAGCACCAAGGACAGGGACGGGAACCTCGTCCTCAGCTGGTTCAGCACCGCGGACAGCGACGGGGACATCGTCATCAGGCTCAGCGCCGAGGGCAGCGACAGAGCCGTCACCTGCCTCTGCACGAAGGACGCCCAAAGGTTCGCCATCGGATTCACCAGCGGGACCATCGGCGCATAACTCAGCGCTGAGGACAGCCACGAGTGGAGGAGCAGCAGCAGCAGCAGCGAGGGCCTCGTCGGGATCCGAACCGAGAACGGCATCCGGATCGACATCGAGGACGACGACCGCGGGCTCAGCAGCACCGAGGACATCGCTCTGCCCGATATGCAACAGCACTCCGCTGCAGCAGGCCAACTGCAGCAGGTGCACGCGCTGCCAGGCGACCGTGTGCAACCGGTGTGGCTTCAATCCCAACCCGCACCTGATGAAGGTAGGCCCCACGGCGCGTCAGCGTTGCATTGCGAAATGGAGCGCGTTGTCGAGCGCGTGGCCGAATGCCTCAGTGCGAGCATGAGAGAACGGGAGAGAGACACACGAAGCGAATGGCTCTCGATAACTGTGTGAGCGTGCAGAGGGACGCGTGAATGGGCGACCCCATACAACAGCGAGCGAATGGGCGAGCGAGTGGATTCTCGAGTGATTGGGTGAACGAATGGGATAAAAGCACGAGCGAGTGAGTGAGTGAGCGAGCGAATGAATTAATGCGCTGAATGGGTGAGTGCTGCGTGCATGTGTGAAGGAGCACCCCAGTATCGGTGAATGGTCGAGTCCAGGCGGGAGGGAGAGAGAGGGAGCGGGGGAATGGGCGAGCGTCAAAACGAACCGATGGAGTTGAAGGAACGATTTCGTTTTCAGGGGCGAATGATGAATGATCCAAGGAACGAGTGAGCAGGATGGATGTGCGGGTGGGCGAGCTTGTGCCAGCAATAGCGCGGGGGAGGTGGTGGGCGGTGGGGCGGGGGGGTAGGTGAATGAGCAAACGGATGAATGAATGAATCGAACGAGCAACGCCAAACCCGCACTGCCTCTTATTCCTCTTTCGCGGAGAGCGGACTCGCGAAGGGCGGGGGGAGGGGGGGGTCGAGGTGACCTATTTATTCAAGGCGCCCCGTGCCGGAGAAGACGATCTGTGCCGGAGTGAATTATTGATTCGCACGGCCAAAAGCGGCCTCTCCCGAGCGCATACAGTGGCCGGGCCACGCGCCGCCAGCGTGCCGCTGGAAATAAATACCGCGAGTGACGCGCTCCTGTCGCTGCACGCGTGTGCTACAATGACAAAGACCCCCACCCCCGTGTAGCCTTCACGGGCTGTTGGGACAAGTGCGGTGGTTCGGTTTAGCGCCACGCCCGGCCGCTCGCCTCTGTCTCCCCATCCCCAGAACCGAACCAGGTACTCGTTTGAAGCTGAGTCGACCTACGGGGGGGGGGGGGGGGGGGCGAGAGGCTGGTTCAGATATTCGTCACCGATGTGGCGGCGTGAGCGGGGGATCGAGCCCCGGGAGGCCGTGTTTGTAGCGGGGGCGGTGCGGCGCTAACCACTTGCACCACCGCTCCCCCACCACCACCGCCACCAACCACCACATTCGATGCACGAATGCCCCCCTGCCCCCCGGCACAATGCGAGCCAATCGCTGATAATCTATCATAGCCAGCGGATCAGAGTGGGGAGGGGAGATCTGGCGGCCTCAGCCAAATCCCTCCAGGGGCCCCCCTCTCCGCTTGCGTGATGATGACGGCGGAGGCGGCGTGGGTTGAGTTGGAAATATCGCGTCATGATTCGGGGGTGGGAGGGGCGGGAGCGAGTGGGGGTGGGGGCGAGGGGGACAGAGCCACGTGCAATGTCATCACAGCTATCAAGGAGGGAGTCGTTACAATAGCACGGCAGGCAAGCGGTTTAAAGCGGTAACCGTTATATTGATGAAGCACGGTCCGGAGATAATGGGGAAAGTTCCTGTACGCGAGTGGCGCGCGTGCTGGACGTCGAGCACACGGCACGGGCGACGTGTGGTACCGGTTTTAGTTTTTCTGCTTTTCATTATCTCAGTAAACATTTTTTATGCAAATGTACCGCGTTCATTTGCGAGACGGTGTCTATGTTGTTACGCGCAGCGAAGCTTTGTCCAATTAACCTCGGTCGGTTTGAACCGATTAAAAGGGGTGGGGGGTAAACCCAACCCTAAATATGACATCGCACACCAGACGGAGGCAGGGAGGCCCTGGTGTGTTTGAGCCATCTGGCGTGCGTGCACTTTTGGGAGCGGTGGCACAGTGGTTGGCGCGAGACGACCGCTATCCCTCACACACCACTACTCATTAACACCACCACTCGCAAACACCGCTAACACCGCCACTCGCTAACACCGCTAACACCGCCACTCGCTAACACCGCTAACACCGCCACTCGCTAACACCGCAACAGCCTGTTGGGGCTACACGAGGAGCGGGGGGGGATCTTTGTCTCTATGTCGAGGCACGTGGGCGGAGAGGATGCGGCTAATTGAATCATTGATCGTCGTGAATTGCGAGGCGGATTGATTCGCCACGCCAACCGAGACGACCTCCGCTGGGCAAACGCCTCTTTGGATGTCAATCTCGACTAAAACTTTTCTAAAAAAAAATACTAAAAGCTATTACGATTTTTTCTTTTACCAGACGTCAGAGCCCCCCTTGAGCGATGTGTTTGCAGAAGCGATGCGGCTGTCACACGTGAGCGCTCTACGAAGGGGGCTCATCGTGGTGTGCGACATTTATAAGCAGCCGAAAAATATTCCAAACGTGTTGATGGTTTATTTTGAATGTGGAGGGGGGAGAGAGACACCGCAAACTCTAAATATACAGCAGGCGTTAGGGCCGGGATAGAACACACGACCACCTGCATACGAGGCGAGGGAGTTCACATTTCATAGCCACCACGGCCCCCAAAAAACATCCCTCCCCTCCCTCCCAGCCACCACGGCGCCAAAAAGCGTCTCTCCCTTCCTCTTCCCACTCAAGGCCACGAGTCACTCACCCCCGTTGCCCCCCCCCCCATCCTTGCCCCCCGCCCTTCCTTGCTCCACCCCCCCCCACTTCCATCCGTCAGGAGCACCGTGCTCTGGAGAGAGTGGGGAGAGCGCTCCCAGCGAGGCTTTGCTGCGGAGAGCTCAACACGCAGGCAGCGTGGCCCAAATAACTAACTCGCATGGGGTTATTCATTTAATTTATGTTCAACAAATGTTCAAACTGACTTCCACTGTCATTAATGCACGATTCATGAATTCCATTTGGAAATTAATACAACTTTTTTTTTTCAGAATACAGCTACATTATTTTGCAAACCCCCCCCCCCCCCATTAATCTCGTCTTTAGTCAGATTTATTTCATATTTAAAAGGTAATCTAGGTGGATAGGTGGATGGGTAGTTAGGTGGGTAGGTGGATGGGTAGGTGGGTAGGTGGGCAGGTGGATGGGAAGGTAGGTGGGTAGGTGGATGGGTAGTTAGGTGGGTAGGTGGATGGGTAGGTGGCAGGTGGATGGTAGTTAGGTGGGTAGGTGGATGGGTAGGTAGGTGGGCAGGTGGATGGGTAGGTAGGTGGGTAGGTGGATGGGTAGGTAGGTGGGCAGGTGGATGGGTAGTTAGGTGGGTAGGTGGATGCGTAGGTAGGTGGCTAGGTGGATGGCGAGGTTCGTAGATAGCATTCACACCAAGTACTTAATGAAAACATGAATTATTGAGGCTCAAGTGAAGACACCCAACCTGGGTTCACGGCCTCAAGGCACTGGTGTCCTTTGCCATTGCCACTTCCCTCCAGGGTGGCTGGGTGGGTGTGTGTGAGTGGGTGTGTGTGTGAGTGTGTGTGTGAGTGGGTGTGTGTGTGTGTATGTGAGTAGGTGTGTGGATGTGTGTATGAGTGTGTTTGTGAGTGTGGGTGTGTGTGAGTGGGTGTGTGTGAGTGGGTGTGTGTGAGTGGGTGTGTGAGTGGGTGTGGGTGTGTGTGAGTGGGTGGGTGTGTGGGTGGGTGTGTGTGAGTGGGTGGGTGTGTGGGTGGGTGTGTGTGAGTGGGTGGGTGTGTGTGTGGGTGTGTGAGTGGGTGGGTGTGTGGGTGGGTGTGAGTGGGTGTGTGTGTGAGTCGGTGTGTGAGTGTGTGTGTGAGTGGGTGTGTGTGTGTGAGTGGGTGTGTCTGAGTGGGTGTGTGTGTGGGTTGGCACAGTAGGGGGCACAGGTGGTGCATCTGCCAGTCATCTCAGTCAGTTAACCCATGGCACCTGGGTCTGTCTCCTAACAGCAGCGAGCCTTCGACACTTCACGTGACCTCAAAGTGCACCTGGCCTGGCACTGGCGCCGTGGTGACGTCTTCGTCACTTAGTGACGAATTGCGGGTATTGATGTGTGGGTGGGTGTGTGCTGGTGGGTTTGTGGATGAGTGTGTGTGTGTGTTCGGCCGGATCGAGGGGGCTAAACGGGCGTGGCACGGGCTATAGAAGAGATGGAGTGATGTGGTACAGGAGAACGTGGAGCTAATTGGACTTGCCGATGACTGGTACCAGCGGTGTCAAGATCGGCCTCAGTGGAGGAGGCTCGTGAAGGACGCTACTGGGCAGTTGGAGGCAGTCGCCCTCCAACAACAACGGAGGGCGGAGGAGCGACGCTCACAACAACGAGCGGAGCGCCGGGTGGCTAAAGCACAGCAAGTTGGTACGGTAGGGGGCACAGGTGGTGCATCAGCCAGTCATCTCGGTCATCTCGGTCAGTCAACCCGTGGCACCTGGGTCTGCCCCGTGACCTCCTGCCAGCGGGCGTTCGACACTTCACGTGGCCTCAAGGTGCACTTGGCCTGGCACAAGCGTCGTGGTGAAGTCACCGACACTTAGTGGCGAATGGAGGTTGTTGTTGTTGTTGTGTTGTTGTGTGTGTGTGGGTGTGTGGGTGTGTGTGTGGGTGAGTGTGTGTGTGTGGGTGTGTGGGTGAGTGTGTGTGGGTGAGGGTGTGTGTGTGCGAGTGCGTGTGTGTGGGAGAAAGGACGACTTAGAGAGATAGGGCGACTCAGAGAGAGAGGGCGACTCAGAGAGAGAGGACGACTCAGAGAGAGAGACTCAGAGAGAGAGGGCGACATCAGAGAGAGAGACTCAGAGAGATAGGGCGACTCAGAGAGAGAGGGCGACTCAGAGAGAGGACGACTCAGAGAGAGAGACTCAGAGAGAGAGGGCGACTCAGAGAGAGAGACTCAGAGAGAGAGGACGACTCAGAGAGAGAGGACGACTCAGAAAGAGAGACTCAGAGAGAGAGGGCGACTCAGAGAGAGAGGATGACTCAGAGAGAGGGCGGCTCAGAGAGAGAGGGCGACTCAGAGAGAGAGAGAGGGCGACTCAGAGAGAGGGCGACTCAGAGAGAGAGGATGACTCAGAGAGAGAGGGCAACTCAGAGAGAGAGGGCGACTCAGAGAGAGAGGA